AATGACATGTGATTAGATGGGGCTCCTATAATATATTATTTATTATTATTATTGACATGTGATTAGATGGGGCTCCTATAATATATTATATTATTATTAATTATTATATTATTATTATTGACATGTGATTAGATGGGGCTCCTATATTATTAATTATTATTATTATTGACATGTGATTAGATGGGGCTCCTATAATATATTATTATTAATTATTATTATTATTATTGACATGTGATTAGATGGGGATCAGTCCCAGGGTGGCTCTGGCCAGTCCCCTGTGATCTCCCAGCATGCACTGCGTGGCCAGCTTGGTTTGGTATAAAGTGACCGATTTCCCAGCAGCCCCCGGGAAGGAAGGCATGTTATAACACGGGCCCGCGCGCTGCTCTATGCTGCCGCTGTTATGTATAATGATTATTAATGTCCACCATGAATTACCTGGTTTTCCCGCCCTCGGATAGCTGTGTCTCCTCCCTCACCGCGCGGCGCCGTGCTCGCTATAACCGTAACCTCTCCGCTCCGCCTGCCTTACTATGCACGGTCACGTGAGCAGCAGCCAATAGCCGAGCAGCGAACCGCACTGAGCCCTCCTCCTCCGCTTGCTGATTGGACCGTTCGTCTGGAGCACATAGGACACGAAATCTGAGTTCTATGCACAAGAGACGTAATTCTCAAAATAAGTCCCACGCAGGGGGGCTATGCGGCCATTTTGCCAAAGACCAATAGTTATTGAAGTCTATACAGTTGTCTCCGATGGTAGCTCCGTGTGCAGTGTCTTGGGTGTTTAAGGCTTTAGTGGACCCAATGGACGCGCTAATTAGTCTAGAGATCAACAAGCCTGGGCACTTTGATGGGTGGAGTCCTAGACAGAAGCGCTGATTGGTCCATATTTGCCTCGTCAGCAATACATAGCGGTTGCTAAGGGAGTTCTAAGCCGTGGTGGTTACGCCATGCTCCTTGTCGCTGAGCTGCAGGCGGCCATGTTTTTGGTGGACTTTCTGTAATTCAGTAAAGTTAGGCCATAATAGCTGATCTGAAAACACAGCTGGCTTGGAGGATTTTTCCAGTTTGGTTATTATGGCCTAAGACTATAATTTAAAAAAAATAATTTTAATCTTAAAAATAAATCTACTCTTTAGTGAATTAATATCCATTTTCTGAATCGTTCATCACAATTAAACATTTTTGAGGGAGACGGTGTAGTGACTGACGATCATTAACCTCTCGATTTTAAAAATACGAATTGTTCCTAATTTAGACAATAATAAAAAAAAAAAATAGGGAACGCTTATACTTATTATCTACAGTACGGAATTTAATGGCGCTATATAAATAATAAAATAATAATTATCAGGGCCCTATGAAGTAAATATACCGTTCTCATGAGATGGGTGGTGGTGTAATCGTTAAAGGGACACTTCAAGCACCATAACCACTGTGCACCATGGCGCTGTCCCACATTTAGATATCAAACGGATTTAGCACGGTCTGACAACTTTCACACATCTAGTAAAAGAGAAGGTAGATGTCCCTTTATAGCTTTGCCTGAGAGCAATCGGCTGATGGTGTGTTTACGGTCAGGTAGATTTAGGGTTAGAATTAGGGGGCTAGGATTAGAGTTTATAGATGTTTAGGGGGGGCAACAGGAATTAAGATTAATAGAGGGATAACATTTCTGGGTCTGTAGGCAGGTTTAGGGATAAGATTATGGGATACTGATGTGGGAATATGTAGAATTGATCCAGATATTTAAGGGGGGCAGACATAGGCAACAAATGTGATTGCTTACCACGAGGGCCATTATTGTAATCAGACCTATCGGGTAGATTTGGGTCACTTCTGGTGGCCCCGTGGGCTGTTTTTTGTCTCAGCTCTGGCTGCTATATTTGCCTCCTGTAGGTACATGATGGGACGTGGTGCCTTTTTAAATTCTTTCTCCTTCTTCTTAATCTTATCCAGCTAACTATAGTCTTCCTTTTCACTGCTTGTAGGGGCGCATGTAAACTGACCTACATAACAGATGCAAAGGGAATGGTTACCAAACAGAGCTTAGTATTGCAATCAACTTGTGATCATTTTTGTATACTGTCCTCTATTTTATGAATTTCTGTTTAACTGCCTTGGACTTGAGTCGACATACACTAAAATAGGAACGTTCATGCTTAGATTGGAACTTTTGTGAACGGAAGTCTTTTCCATTTACCGTATGTACCCTTGATTTCTGTCACTCTGTAGCAGTTTTCTATTTGATTTAATTGAAATAAAATAAATGATTGCCAAAAAAAACAATTTTCAGCTATTTTGTCCTGAAACTTCAAATTCACACTTGAGTAAATAACCTTGCCTGTGACTGGTGGAAGGACAAACCCCGTACACACTAGTTTAACAGTACCCATGCCTCAACCCCAAGAAAATATATCTTTAGAATTCATGTGGATCTCATTTATCAGAGCCCGATAAATATGCTGTGGCTTCTCTGAATAGTCATAATCAACTTTATTTCTCTGTAGGAGTTTTCACTTCTAGTCTATTAATTCCTTAGTAAATTTATGGATGTAGAAAAGATAGTGAAGGCAGAATAGTAAATATGAACCCATTTCTGTGCTCTAAAATATCCTAAAAATAGTTATCCTGATAATAATGGGAAGAAGACAACGTTTTGGCTATCAATTGATTAGGAGGTGTGAATTATTTTACGTGGATTAGACTTGAAAATGATTGAATTTGTCCGATAAAATGTTTTTGGTAGTAAGCATTTCGATTCTTGCAAATTTCAAACAAGCAATCGATTTTGTTAAAACAACTCGAACAGAAATGGTGCAAATATGCACCTTTTACTACCGGACACTGACATCTCTGAGAACATCAGAAGCCCCAAATGGAAGGTCATTCTCTATATGTGCAAGGTACCGCTAGTTTCCTATTGCCATTTACCGTTGCATCTCATGCCCTTACAGGATATTTCATTGGCTTTTAATTTATTTGAGTTCCCATTACCAGTTATACAAAACCCCACTCACCATGCTTTTCATCTATGCATGCCCAGTCCTAATTTGCCACACTCATGTACTTATTCTTGTATGTGCTTAGATCACATGTATAATTACATAAAGTAAAAAAAAAAAAAGTTTAAACAAAATCTCATTTGTAAAGAGCTCCGGTTCATTCATTGCACATTTTGTGATACGTCCATATGGGGTTTGAATTGCAGAATTCAGACAAACAGTTTATCAGACAAAATTCGGACAAACTGGTTTGAAGCCCAATGCACACCTCTGTAATATGGTCACTACAGATATATGAAAACATTGTATCTTTGAAAGAACTGGAATATCTGAGAAGCATGACCAGCCAGTACTTGCTGCCAAGCCAATCTAGGACTATGTTTTATAGCATCTACACAGAACTTGATACCGGAGAAACAGGGTTAGTCATTGCTTGCTACCAAGCCAAATTTAAAGTGGCCCTGTTCGTTTTTGTTTTTTTTCCCCCTTATTCCCCTATATCTTAATGATTATACAGCCTCCCACTGCCACTTGCCTCTCTATATGTGTAATCCTTTTGCGGGATTGATTTTACTAATGGATTCTGGGTAAATTAGAAACAGAACCTCTCTTTAAAAAGGGGACACTCCATTGCCCAGACAAAAATTAGTTTAGTAGATATACCCCAAGTGAAAAGGTGCATGTATTTAATTATACCCCCAATGAAAAACTTGCAGATCTAAAAATAGCTTGCAAAACCTGCAGTTTTCTTGTCTGCAGGTTAGGCAAACCCTCCCCTTTTCCCCCCGCCCAGACTTTCTGTGGCTGTCCAATCACAGACTTCCCAATGCAGCTCAAGGCATCTGCTATAAGATGCACTTTTTAGACAAAACTTTTCAGCAAGCTTTAGGCAAAGAAATCAAAATACAAGTATCCAGTTATATAGAAACAACTTTGATTTAGTTTAGGTTTGGCGTTTAATTTATAGACTCTTTACCTACTGTGAAAGACATTTTCACTCAGATTCATTGTAACATTTTTAATTTCTTTATAAATTATGGGAAACACACACACATACCATAACAGACAAATTAAACAGATCATGGAAACAGAGCTTAAAATTTACTTTTTTCATTTAAACAAAAAAAGTTAAAACAACAGCAATTACCTGATACTTCAGAACAATCTAACATTTAAGAACCATGATTCAAGCATTAAAAACAATTCAGTACTTCAATGTTTCAGAAATGAAAATTTAGCGCATAAAATCTTAAATTTTCCTAAAAAAAAAAAAAAAAAAAAATTTCCTAATGAAATTATATAAAATTTCTAGTACAACATTAAAACAGATACGTGTGATTATGGGGGTTATTGATGTTTTCTGCACATTTTAATCACAGAAAGCAGAGAAAATTCAATAACTCCCAGAAATGTAAACATTAAAATGTAAACACAACATGATCATTTAAAAGGGGGCTTATTAACAAAACGGTGTTCAGCAGATTGAAAAACGATGTTGCATGTAGACCAAATTAGATAAACTGGGGGGGAAAAAAATCCAATTTGTCAGAATTGAATTTTCAGTCTACCACAAAATGGTCAATATGGGCATTTTTTTTCTACTTTACGGTTTTTGCCAATAAACCCTTAAAAAAAAACAAGATTATTGAAATCAAAAAGGTATTCACATTTCCTGCTTAGCTTTTTCTTAAAGCAAATGAATGGCAAGACGTTAACGTAATAGGATTTACTGCTCAGAATATTCTTAGTCTAATCAAGAAAATTGTTAGTTGATTCTTTACCATCAGGCTGGGAGGTATAGGTTTGTATTTAAAAAAAAAAAATTTAATAGATTTGCCTCCTGGGTCACCAAATGTGTCTTGAAATACCACTCATCCTGCAGTTAATATTCCAAAAATACTATATTCGGTCAGTGCAGTCCACATCATTTTTCAGCTAAAATTTCTAAAAGGTGCATTTGTAAAAGTCAGTCTTGCATTTCAGAATGATTTCTGGTTACATGAAGCGAGGATGCAGGGTGGTCTGGAAGAGAGATTTGCCCCCTGGCTGTATGTATGTGATGGTCATTTCCTTAGGTGTTATTTGTACATAGACAAACCCCCCCATGTTTTCAAGCTCAGCTTCGTAGAATCGCAGATAGCCTTCCGGGACCTTGTCCTTATGCTTCAGAGAGTGCTCCACAAAATTGCCGGCACCACTAAGTACGTAGCCAATGCCAGCGTCATCCTGAAGATACTGCAAATGAGAACATTTTTACTTTAGCATTTTAAAGATTACCAGAATCTACTTTTCCAACTTTAAGTTATATTGTTGCCTGGATATGGCTTTTTAACACATTGTTATTCACCTCAGTCCATCTATTAAGGGAGTTTCTAGTTTGTTTGTTTTTTAGAAAATAATTGTTTCCATTGCAGGGTAAACACACCTCTTGTGGCAGTCTTCCAGACAGCCAGTAGAAGTGTATCCATGTTGAGAACAGAGTCGCAGCATGGCGTTTGAGGAACTCAGCCAAGCAGGCAGATCGGCAGAACGATGTTAGTATTCCTAACGCGATAGTGATCCTTTAAGATATTGGCCTCAATTATGCTGTGTTTTTCCATTCATACTCCGTTTGCTTTTTTATTTTCTGCAACAATAACCCTATACCTATAGACATGCACTCTCTTTTTACAAAGCAACTTCCTTATTAGATGTGTTATTTAGGAGCTAACTGGTGGCATCATTCCATCCCTTAGCCAATCACTATCCTCTTTGTACCTCATACCTTCCAACATTCAAAGGCATGCAATCGAAAAAGTCCCACCCTAACACTGATCTCTTATAGGCTGAGCATGTACTCAGAACATATCTAGTACAGAAACTAGTTTGTGAAAAGAGGGAGCATGGCTAATGTTATGTTGCATAAAGCTGGAGGAAAAAAACAAACAAAAACACTTAAAAAAAACTAAAGAGATTCGAACAGGGAGATAAACACAGCACGATTATGAGGCCAAGGTTGGTGTGCAAAGTGTAGGTTTAAAACAGAAAGTTTCATGATATAAAGCTTTGTGTGCAAAAAGGACACCAACCCTAAGTTATGTTTGTACAATCACATTGCTGCCGGTCTCTTATTCTCTACAGAATAGCATGTTTTGCCAATAACACATTTGCTGGTAATTTTAGGTAGTTACCTGTAGGTTGTGGTCATGCCCACACAGGTAGGCAGTGACATTGTACTTTTTAAAAAGCGGTTCCACATCTTTAATTAGGCAGTGGGTTGGCCCATGCTCTGCCACAGACCACACCGGGTAATGTCCAGCCACCAGCAAGTACTGCTCCTTGGATCCACGCAGTTTCTCCTCCAACCACTCTAGCTGCTCCACAGCCACCTTTTCATCCGCTGGGCCCTCTGGTTGCCCCAAGAGGAAATCATCAGAGTTCCCACATAAAGTCACAGTGTCTAGGAGCAGGAGTCGGACTGACACATTGGTGCTTGGGATTGTGAACGACAGATCATAGTATAAATTAGGATACTTCCTGCAAAGGAAAACATCACAGGAGTTAGAGTATTAAGAGTCTTAGGAAGTAAGTGTGTTCAAAATCACAGCAGGTCTAACCGTCCCCTTGTTAGAGTAACATACAAAGCTTCACCTGGGGTGCCAAAAAGGTAGATCCCCAGATGATGTACAACTACAGCTTCTATGATGCTTTTTCATTCTAAAGGCATGCAAAGCATCATGTGAGTTGTAGTTCTACAACATCTTGGGATCTATCTTTTGGGCACCCATGATCTACACTATTCTATTGGCTGTGTGCATGCATAGTGGTAATGGTTGTGTCACTGTTATCACAATGTTGTCCTTTATTCTTTTTGCACAGCTTCCAACACAACACAAACATAGTTACACAATGAGGATAATCCCAGTCAATTATATTGTGACTGTGTCCAGTCACCCTTGAGTAGGCAAAATCCAGCATAGGCATTAGCTACCTGTAGGGGTCACTGTTCACCAAATTAAATGTATCAACTTCCTTAACCCCTTTATTGCAGAAGCTGAGTGTTTCCTTAAAGTCCCTGCTGCCAAATACTGGTAGTTGTATTTTAGGAAAGCTAACATCTTGTGCCTCACCTGCTATTGACCAGGGGAACATACTTTAAGGGTTGAGGGCCAACCCTGGAATGTTTGGTTGGGCTATGACATCCAACAGAACTGAGTGGATGTCCAGCAAGAGAAGGCCAATTGTTTTGCAACCTAACCGATTCTTGGTCATCAGCAAATATGTATAGATGCCTTCTGAAAAGACTTGTGAATTCCACGGAGGAGTTGTACAACTGTATGTCTCTATAATGTTCTGTAATTGCCTGGAACGGAGCTGTGTTTAGATTGATGTTGAACTATTTTTATATTTCCTTATCTGCTCTCGAGTCATCTAGCTAATTCACATAGAATAGCTGCAAAACCTATATCTCAGCTCACTAGAACAATGTAGATCAGGGCACATCTGGTGGGCTCTACAGTAGGCAGCTTTATTATAAATTGCAGAACAAAAACAACGTTTTGGCTCCTTGCTAAAGGCTCCAAGGAGCTGAAATGTTGTTTTTCTTCTGCACTACTGAAGAAACCACCAGGTGTTCCCAGATCTACATTATTCCAGTGAATCTTTCCTGGATCTGTCTGGAGCACCCTGGTGGGAGTACTCCCTGGATAGTGCGTTCATATCCTCTACCTTTGCAATAGTGCCCACAGCAGGGCACCCTTTACATTTTGTATTTTTCTGTGTATATTGTACTTTCAGAAGAGAGATGCTGGTGGTGTTGGGGGATATGTGGGGGAGGGAGTGGACACTGGAAGCAGCTTTGGGGTTAAATTGAGTCCAAAGTCCTTTACAAATCCACAAGCAAGGTATGGAGGAATGGAAACTTAAGCAAGTGTAATGAATACGTGGTTTCTTCATTTACAATAAAATGATGCAAAATTTGTGTGAGATTGTTTCTTAGAATATATCAAGATTTGCACCTTGGTGTAGACAGCTCTTGTACTGAGAGGAACGTTGCGGCTGTGTGTAAATTTCTAAATCACGTGTTGAATTGACAGTTTCATTATATACATTGATTTAAAAAAAAATAAATAAAAAGTAAAAAAACAAAAAAAAAACCACCTTGTTAAAGGTAGTGTGGGCACCATAACAACTTCAATAGACTAAAGTAGTTATAGTGCCTAGAAGCGTCGGGTATCGCATGGCTATTAAACAGTTTACACACCGATTAGGAGAGAGGTTTATTCCACAGCATCCCAGCCTCCCATGATGCAATGACTGAGGTAGAGCTATGCCCCACTTCACTCAATACAGCAACAGCTATAAGTCAACCACTTCCCTAGTTCAAGGAATGTATTGGTATGGTGAGAAGTGGAAGCATATCTCCACTGTATCGTCAATAGAGACTGGCCTGCTGTACCGCACTGCTAAACGGTAAGTAAACTGTTTAACATTAATGCAGAACCTGGATCTCACAGACTCCAGGCAACATAACCACTACAATCCGTCAAAGTGGTTATGGTGCCTACTCTGTTCCTTTAAAAACACATTAAACATTTTTTTTTAATTTTTTTTTTTAAACCAATCAAATTCTTGGGGTTTTCCTCAGAGTTTAAAACATAATCAATATTTAGAATACATGCTCAATTTTGGTAGCAGGGTAACAGCCATAGAACAGTGACAAGATTGATCAAAACAATGGTGGATCTGCTGTATCTTCCATGCACAGTGGACTGCTCTGGTAGATCAGTCTATTATGCAAACTGTATAGGTGCCTTCATTAATGGCTCACACTGGCCAAAACTCATTTGGAACTAGTTAATAAGAAGATTAGTAGAGACTAGTGAAAAACAAGCCCAGTACCAATCCTATTACCCTTATTAAAGTACTAGTCCAACATAGGAATAAGAAAACCTTAAAAAATGATAATTAACAACTTTATTAAATCCCTACAATGATGATACAAAAACCACACACAAAAACTGTGCCAGAAAAATGTGATGAAATGAAAAAATGTAAAATAAATAAAATTGGACAAGCAGATAGATCTTATAGAGATAGTCAGAATGATCTCCCAGCTTGGAAATAGACTAGAAAGCAGGTGAATGTAACCTGATACTATGTTGCAAAATTGCATACAAATTGAAAGCACCAGCTAAGTCTTATAAGCTGCTGGGGGCTAGGAATGTCTGATATAGTATCTAATATAGAACAATATATGTAGCTAAAGAACAGCAAACTGATTCTAAGGCAGTGTAATGGATCATAGGCAGAAATTGTAGAGTAAAGAAGGCTCTGTATGGTGTTAACCAGTGACTGTCTTATTAATCAGCTTAACTAATCATTAAAAAACCTGAGAAAGAAAAGGAAATAGGAATATATGGGGTAATCCAAAGCAGTAAACCCCAGGCTGAGAAACTAGAACAGTTGGGAAACCGACAATTGAATATGACATTACCCCTAGTATAATATCCTTTATGGTCAAGTGCTCAGAGCCAGTATAATAATATATAGATGATAGACAAGTATGCAGACCTAAATTGGTCCGCTCATAAGTGAAGGAACAAGTAGTCCCATATAGGATACACCCTGAAGATACAGAGATTAGCCAATAATATAGAAAAGATGCCCATACATTTTTGTAAATAACTGCTTTAGGGTAACCCCTCAAACTAGATATAGCCAGTGTGAAATAAGCTAAACACTGCTGCTTCAAGGCAGCCTATTATCTACCTAAAATAGCCGATACTAACACATCTACCACTGCCTAAAAATAGAAACTGCCTATTTGCCCAGGGAGATCATTAAGATTTATAGTAATAGCAAGATGCTAAGGCATGCAAAAGCTGACCTGTGGAGCGTCTGCTCGACGCGCGTTTCGGTGCCGATAAGTGCCTTTGTCAAGAGCGGTCTATGTTGGGTTATGCCCTAATTACCCCACAACCATTATGGACTAAGTGTTAGATTCTCTTTCATCGTGTTTGTGGATTTATCATTTGGAACTAGAGTGGGCACTAGTCACAGGGGAGGGGACAATACAGGTTTGTCTGTTCTCAATGTTACCACACATTGAGTTTCAGCTTATTATGAAACCAGTACAGATAGATAGATAGAACAAGGCTTACCAGCGAGGGGACACCTTGGAGTACGCGATCTGAGCGGACACATTCCCATTGTGATCGTGATTTCCTGCAGTTATGTACCATGGTACATTCTTGAGCGAATCAGCATTGAAAACAGACTCATATGTACTCTGCATTAAAAAAAAAAAAAAAAAATTTAAATCAAAAATAATTACAAATCTTACATGTCCTTGCTGGCAATGGGGAAAAAGTTATGAAGTTTAATCACATGCAGATCTTGTGTGGAAAAAAAAGATGTGCTTAATATTATCAAAACTTACAGTGCTCTGTAGTGGTTATGGTGCTACAGGTTGCCTGGTAAACCCACCCCCACGGTTCCACCCGGCACTGCTTTCTGTCTCCACTACAGCTCGGCATTGCAGGGTTTAGCTCATTGCCCATATAATGAGCGGGACCTGCACGGCAAGGCTTAGCTCAGGAGAGCTAACAAGTTGCTGAACAGGGGTTTCAAACTCTCAATGGGCTATAGAGGAGACAGAGTAGTGCCTTATGGATCCCATTTGACAAATCAAAGAATTCTAAAATGGTTTGACTCCTTATTATGATTACAGTGGTGCTGTGAGCATCCGTTTAATCATGTTATTACACTTCAAACAAAATATACCAGCATGCTCTATACAGTCCAATTCTTTTCTGTGAAAGGCATCAAATTAGACACTGCTGAACACAAACATGGAAGGTCATGCTAATAATTGGGCAGCAAAGTAGAGGATCAGTTTGATAGCACAAGTCAAATCAGCCTAGGTAGCTATGTAAGGACTTAGGAAAATATTTTAAAGGACCACTCTAGGCACCCAGACCACTTCAGCTTAATGAAGTGGTCTGGGTGCCAGGTCCTTCTAGGGTTAACTCATTTTTTCATAATTATAGCAGTTTCAGAGAAACTGCTATAATTATGAATGGGTTAAGCCTTCCCCCTAATCCTCTAGTGGCTGTCTCATTGACAGCCACTAGAGGCGCTATGTGCTCCACTGTGAAAAATCTGAGGAGAGCACGCTAGTGTTCATAGGAAAGCATTGTAAATGCTTTATGAGATACTGGCTGAACGCGCCAAGAGCTCTTGCCGCTGCAAGCGCAGCCAGCGGGCGAACGAGGCGGAGAGGAGAGGAGAGCCTGCCCAGCTGAAAAGGCAAGTTTTTAAAACCCCTTTCCCCCTTCCAGAGCCGGACGGGAGGGGGTCCCTGAGGGTGGGGGCACCCTCAGGGCACTATAGTGCCAGGAAAACGAGTATGTTTTCCTGGCACTATAGTGGTCCTTTAAGTAATAGTGTTCTTTTAACCCCTTAAGGACCAAACTTCTGGAATAAAAGGGAATCATGACATGTCACACGTCATGTGTCCTTAAGGGGTTAAAGGGTTACTTCAACCACCATGACCATTTTAGTGATTTGAAGTGGTCCTGGTGGTAGGAGTCAGTATGTGCAGGGTTTCAGTTTAAAACACTGTACATATGGAATTATTGGCAATTGTGTGCCAGGGGCAAGTTCCATCCCCAGCACATATTACCTAGGCAGTCCAGAATTACCTAGATAGATCTCCACACTCACCTGCTTCCACCTCTTCCCCCCCCCCCTCTATTTTAAAATAAGAAATTGTATTTTATTTGTAAATAAATTTATACCACTGATCCAGATTCTAATACCTGGTTCGTTTCTGGTGCACTGAGGAGGTAAAATCAGGCCCTGGCTCCTTAGTGGGTTCGGTGGAGGATTTTCTGAGGCGTTCTTGCTTGCTGCATGTTTGTGAGTGCAATCTACTTAATGTACACACTTATACACTGTCACGCTATGTTTTATGAGCTGGCTCTCCCAATCCGGCCCCCTTCTCTCTGCTATGTCTCGTCTGTGTAGCTCAGTGTTTATCTGCTCTCGCTGTCTCCCAGCGTTGCCATTATCAGAAGGTTCCAGTCCCACTATTAAAATGTCAGAGAGCCGGCCCCTCAAGACACATTGCTGTCGGATGGCCCCCTGGCAGTAGTTCCACCACTGATCTTAAACATAATTATAAAAATCTATCTTATGAGGTCTATTGAAATGGAGTGTGTGCATGCGAGGAGTACAAATCTTTGTCACCTTAAATCTGAAATCCGTTACATCTGTGACGCCATCATAGTAGAAATTGTCTCCAACAGTAAGAACGAAATCCGCACCCCATTTGGCCACAATTTTACCCATCTCATCTGCAACCAGTGTTTCCTGCTTGGTGTAGTAGGGCGGCAAGGGGATGCCTCCCCAATCACCAATTGTCACAAATCGAAGGGACGGGAGAGGGTCCATAGGGTAAGCGGATGTCCCCTCAAAGAAGGATGACAGGAGGGTAAACAGGATAATTGTATTCTTCATTGTGCGACCTGGAAGAGGTAAAGGTTACATCAAAAAGAGACATTTGTAAGTTTGAACAAGAGCACTAAAATGTCCATCTGGGAAAAACAGGGAGGTTTATGTCTCAAACCAGGAATTGGGGAGAAAATACAAGTAAATTTCAAGTTTTTGAATGAAGTTGAAATGCAGGTAAAAAGAAAGTCTGAGTTGAAGATATTTTCAAATTCAACTATTATATTTTATAATTTGCCATTTACATCAATAAGATTTCCCACCAGACAAATTAAAAAATGAATATAGTCTTCAAAATGCTGGACAATTTGCATGTGAATTAGTGTGGTTGAACACAGATTATATGATTCTGCTCCCCTAAACCCCTTGACGCACTGTCACAATACTAGATAACAGCATGGGTGTGACAAATTTGTAGCACCTTGTGACACAACACTGTTTCCTACAAGGCAAAAACATTTAGGGTATTGTGTGCATGTTTGTCACCCTCTAACTACAAAAATTAAACGGTTCAAAGATTCTTTGAAAGTAGTTCTTTATATTGTAAAACCATTTTCATGCACTTTGGGCTGAGGGGGAAGGAGGGTAGGGGGAGACTTAAATAGCAAAAAACAGGGTTTTCCTACTCCTGACACTTCTTGGCACTGGATGAACAAGCACCGTCAAGAAGTGTCAATCCCCTAGCCATCACCAGTGGGATTATCCTTAACTCTTTACTCTTGAGTATGTGCGAGAGTACAGCAGTGATGTCGGCTCCTGACGCTGCAGAAGAGGACCAGCCGTGTACTAGAGACTACTTCGGATATTTTAAACTCAACTTTGCCTGCCCCTTGGGCCACCAGACGCCCTGCTGGAATGTCACCGTCGGGGGTCTTTGCAAATTATTCAAAGTCCATAGACAGGGCCAGACGCACTCTAAAGGATTACTCAAATTACCATGACAGCCCACTGTAGTCATTATGATCCCAGGAGTACCCTGGCACTGTTCATTGGTAAGGGGGGCAAACCATTTTACAGTGTGCAATTGGCTGACACCATTCGCCAATGAATGAAATGCAGTATCGTTAAAGCTATAGAAGCCAGATGTCATCTAATCGGCACAGCTCACACATGGCCAGAGTGCAGGGGAGCTAAAACAGATACCCGGGTGGAAGATTAATTATTCTCCACCCTTGTCTATTAAAATAAAATTGCGGCAGAGGGGGAGGGGCTTACCGAGTGGCAGGACTTATCGTAAGGCGGGGCTAATACCTCCCGAAGCCCCTGCTGCACAGGAACAGGTAAGGAATCCCTGCTTCCCCATCAGCCACCTGCAACCCCTGGAAAGAGGTAAGTGTGTGTGTGTGACTGCCTGTCTGTGTGTGCGCCTGTGTGTGTGTGTGTGTGTGTGACTGCCTGTCTGTGTGTGCCTGTATGTGTGACTTCATTAACTGAGTGTGTGTGTGTGTGTGTGTGTGTGTGTACATGCCTGTAACAGAGTTTAAATTTCCCCCACCCTTTCCTGTCAAGGCCGCACTTTGACTGACAGACACACTCTCATATACACTGACAAACAATGACACACACACACACTATTACTTTGACACACACTGACAGATGCACGCACTTACTGAAAGACGCACGCCCCCACTGACCGACACATACACACTCACTGACCGACACACACACACACATTTCCACTAACACTCACAAACTAATATTTTTTTACATTTTATTTTAAATCCACCCAGCCTCCCTGGGAGAGCTGGAGTGGATTTTTTACCTGCAGTCCAGTGTGGCTGCTGGGCGGGCAGGCAGGGGGCGCACAGGCTGAGCAGGCGGCGCTCAGTGATGCCGGGAGCCGGACTGACGTCATATTCCGGCTCCCGGCTTCATTAAGCGGCGCAGAGGGAGCTGAGCAGGAAAAGCTCAGGTGAGGGGGGGGGGCTCAAAAGTGGCCAGCCGGCCAGGACGCGAGGCAAGCAAGGGATCAAAGTGCCGCCCAAGGCAGATGCGTTGTTTGCCTCGCAATACACACGTCCCTGGTGCCTGTGTGTGTTACTGTATTCAGGCAACTTGGTGGGGGGTGGGGCGCCGTGAAGACTTTTCACACAGGGCGCCTAATTGCCTAAGGCCGGCCCTGGTGTCAGCCGATAGCGCTCAGTCAATGAAATGAGGGTCTCTGCATACTAACCTCTAGCCAGTAGCTGCAATATCTCCGTATGTGCAGCATTTCAAAATAAAATGCTGTATTTACAGAGTCCTTCCACTATAACTACTTCAAAAAAAATGAATTTAAATTTTTTTTGACACAGATCGTATTGCCTTCCTACACAGATTAAGAGGGCAGGGTTAAACCCAATTAGGGTTAATGATTCAACAATGTTGCACCATTCCAGAATGGTCACATGACTGCTGACTACATAGGTTTTTATCAGCCAAACAATGGTCAAGTGACCAAAACCTGTGTTTGTCAGTCACATGTCATCTATTTACAGGAGAGAGGCGGTCACAACCTGACTGTTGTGTAGTTAAGGGGAGCCATGGATAGTTAGTATGGCTGCATGGGCTGTAAAGGCAGATTTGGTAGAAGGAGGGTGTAACACAAATAGGAACATGGAAGGACCGGTCAGTTTGGTTTGGGGTAGATTAGAATTTGTCCTTGTTCAGAGGACATCCTGAAATACTTGAAAAGACTACTTAAAGCTTGTATTTTTTCAGTTTAAAGTTCTAATCTTGCATAATCCACCCAAATAAAGCAATTTCATACAGTGTAATAAGCACAATGATGGGATGTTAGTGCTCAATCCAAAGCAACGTAAAACTACATATGTATGTTGCAGGAAAAAAAAACAAAAAAAAAACAACCCTAAATTAAGGAGATAATGAAAAAAGTACTCAAAGTGCAATTGGATGATCTGGTGCAAATAAACAAACTACCAACGAAAATCAAGACAAATGAAAAAAAAAAATAAAAAAAAAAAACATATTGCACTCTTGAGAATCTTCAAAGTAATTTACAGGAACAATGCTTGTAGTTGCTTAAGAAGTTAAGATTTATTGTGTTTACTGCCAGGTGTAATTGTATTACCATTTTCCACAATAAATAAGCAACTCCAATGATTATCCCTGTTCATTACTTTGGAGATCCCCAAGAGTGCAATAAATTCCTAATTTTCTGTTTATTTGATGGGATGTTAGTGACTTGGGGATGGTGGCTGCGTAGTTATTTGGACAAAAGTAGTCTAAGGAAATAGCCAGACCATCAGCACATATTAGAATCTCGAATCAAATACCACAGTGTGTCTAGAAGATGGAATACATAATTTTCTCATCTTGGGTCAATAAAGTAACTTTCTCTGACATTACAAGTTTACTTCACAAACACAACAACCAGAATGATCGCAAGTGTCTTTACATCAATGTGCACAATCACTGTGATCGCAAGGTACACCTCTGTACCCTAGTGTGATCCTAAACATGCTATACATAAGTGCCATTATCGGAGGGAAGGCCCTCTGACTGAGGGGGGACAGGGACAGTATTTTTATTACCTAGATGTGAGAATCCGCAAGGTGTGAGGTAGCACCCCACAATACATACATATCCCTCGCCTTTACTTTTGTCACTATATCAAGGATTACAAGTGGTCTATGCTGCGTCCAGATGTATTAGACACAACTGTACGGAGTATAAATCTCAGTGTTAGGTTATTACACACCAACTCCAGCTGTGTTGTGTACACATCACAGTGTACGAGCATTGTACGCCAACTCCAGCTGTACTGTGTAAACACGTCTCGCCGTAAGAATGTGACAAACTTACTCCAGTGTACCATATACATATACGGTGTTCTAGGAGAGAGTTACCTAGACTATCTATACTGTGTACACATGTTGTGAGTTAGTAAATGCAGTAGTGGGGTGGTTAATGTGTTACAATGTACATGTTTAGAATTATCTCCTACATTGTAAGCTGGTTTGAGCAGGTTCCCCTTCAATTCTTTTATTTGTCAATAGAAGTACTTTGTCAAGTATTTTTCGGTTATAAATACGCACTGTGTAACCGTAAAGCACTGCGGAATATGTCAATACCATAAAATAATAAACTGAGTGTATACAAAGTGTGCGGGGACTGTGAGAATAAGTGTATTAGCAGGAAACATTGCTACAGGCAGATAGTTTATCTGCTAGTTATCAGTGATGTGCAGGGTGTTAAGAAGTCAAGATTAAAAAACACACACAAACCCACAAAAGCAGATCTGATGTGTGAAGCGCTAATTAATATACTGTACAGTGGGGCTGACAAAAAGGTAAATCCCTGGCTATTGCAGAACTACAACTCCCATGATGCTTTGCGAGATATAGCAATTAGAACATTGAAAAAAGGTTTCCATTTAGTTTGCCAAATCATGTTTTTATGTAGGACACCATGGGTAAAATGCATTCCCTAGGGCTGTAGGATGAGGAATCCAGCCCCGATATACGCATGGTTTTAAAGGGGGTCTCTAAATAAAATACTGATTTGAGAGTACTGGATATATACAGTGAAATTTAAACAAGTAAAACTATGCAAAGTAAAATGAAAATACACAGTGCAGGCAGAGACTCCATCAGCCAAGTAAGAGGAGACATGTGGCTGGGGGGTGGGGGGGACATAGCCACCATTTCTTACCTTTCTAACAGCAAGCAGCCTTCTCTGAGTCTTGTCCTTTTCTCTCTGAGCCCTTTAGCCTGTAAAATACAATACAATGCCTGACCCCACACCCCTCCTCCTTCTCAAATTACTTCACTCAAACACCACAGCTTCCTGTAACCAAACCTCAGGTTAAAAAACAAACAGTGCTCTAACTTTACTGCTGGGACCTTAGTTTTACCAATTTAGAACCCCCAACACAAGACAACATTCTGCCACAAAGGATTATGGGGAAGGGATAAGCAGGAAGTGTAAAGTGAAAAAATAACACATTTTCAGTACTATTTAAAGTGAGAAATGACAGGAATTCAAAGTGAATTTCTAATTTTAGACCA